TTTATGTATGTATTCATTATTACATGGTTGGGTCTTCTTCTTGTTCGTTTGCAGGAATTACTTATGTAATTTGGATAATAATCCTCTTTCTGTGCTATGTGTTGCAAACATCTAGCATCTGACTTTTTTACTCTATAGTACTCGTGATGAATATGTCTTACTTCTATTGTAGTTGACACACTTATTAAGTTTCTTTGCTTTTTCTGTCTTGTTCAAAAAATTATATCATCACAAAAAAATATTTTCTTTTCTTTTGTTCTAGTGTTCCTCTGGGTTTGATTTTAGGCATGTATAAAACATTCTCCATTTTTTTTCCATGTGGATAACCAATATTCACAGCATTATTTATTGAAATGCTTGAGAGATTTCAGCTAACAAAAACACTGTTATATCCATTATTTGAAAGATTTCTGAATGGATGGGTCTGATTCTCCTTTCTCCATCTTTTTCTACTGTTACATTTGTTTACATCTGAGCCAAAGCAGACTCTTTTATTTATTATGATTTTATAGTATCTCTTTCATATAAAAAGTGCCCCCCCAAGCAAATCTTACTCTTCTTCTGTATGTTTTAACTATTTTGATTCTTCTGTATTTTACAATTTGTTTGATTATATAACTTGCTGGTATTTTAATTGGATTTTCTTGAATCTGTAGATTAGTTTAGGAGGCCTATAAATCTTTATGAAAGGAGTCTTTCATAAGTAGTTTTCTCTTTTGTATATCTTCCTTAATATTGCTCAATATATCTTACTACTTCGTTTTATAAAATGTGCATTTTTTTCACCTTTACTCGTAAGTATGCTATGATGTCATTGAGTACAGGTATATATATTTTTTGATAAATTAAAGACAGATGAAAATAACTACAATATAACCAAAATCCAATGAGCCAGAGACCTAATTGTATTTTATACAACCATATTTGACTAAATTAAAATTCTTATTGGAATAACTATTTTATGAATTATGTTTTCCCTTTGAAGTTAAGATTAGTATCAAAATGTGGCAAAGGTTTAGTTTTTGATATTATTTTATTAGTTACTATACATATTCTCTCACTTTTTTTGTAGTCAGTCAGAAAAATGCAAAAACATATTTTTCTTAACATCTATAAACACAATATTTAATTCATACCACAGCAGAAGTAGGAGAATTAAAGAATTATTATTATTAATATACTGCTTCTGTACTGTAAAGGAATTGTTAAGGGCAACAACAACAACAAAAACCATAATTATAAACTGTTCCTCTAATGATTGCTGAAAACTAAATTGACTTCTTTCTTTCAGAATTTGTTTTTTTGAGAAGTTTTTGCTATGGAACATGTGTGCTCACCAGAAAGACAGAGAAAGACAGAGAGACAGAAAGTGAGAAATCACTCCCTCAGGGGGGATGGCCATGCCACAATCCCTTCTCCTCCATTTTCTTCTCAGGATCTTGGGCATGCACACACACATGCCCAGCATGAGCTTAAGCCACCGGGTCTGGGACTCGAACCATTATCGACAACATGGGAGTCCAGCGACATAGCCATTACGCCAACTGCTGGTCTTCTTTCAGAATTTTTTACCAGGGTTTACTTATTTATTTCATGAGATTGGGAGTCAGAGAGAGACAGAGAGGAGAAGCACCCCCACTAGGGTTTTATACTATAATCTGCCCTCAGCCTTCCCAGCAGACAGGATTATGAGCATGTGCTCCCAACCTGGACAACCTACTTGGGGACCAAACACGAAATCTTCCACATAGATCCCGTGTCACATGTACAGCGTATTATCACTGTGCCACCACGCTGGCCTTCACCTCATTTTTCAACTAGTTAAGATAAATTCATCATCTCTGAGGCATTCTGGTTTTTGTGAAGTATTTAATGAAGAGATTTATATGATGCTCTAAAAATGACACTGAGAAATTTTTGCATTCTCAGTTTTTGGATAATTGTGAGCACAGATCCTCACCTTGCTTTAATGTTCCACTCTAACCAGTAGAAATTTCTGTGACGATTGAAAAGTTCTGTAGTGTGTAGTATGCAATGTAGCAGACACTTCCACTTAGGCTACTGAGCACTTGGAGAATGGACAGTATGCCTGAGGAGCTAATTTTTTTAAAAATTATATTTAATTTAAACAGCCACATGTTCCTAGTATCTACCATAAAAGACAGCATAGCCTGACATATCAGGCATAATAGTCTCTCTTTATCTTTTGGAGATACGGCTCAAGATCCCCAGTGGATGCCTGAAACCATGAATAGAACTGAACCCTATACATGCTACTCTTTCACTATACATGCTACTCTTTAAAAAGTCTTAGGCATTTAGAAGAGTTCCATTTTACGTCACTACCTGTTCAATCACTACTTAACATGTATCTACACTCACTTCACTATACGTGCTACTCTTTAAAAAGTAATGGCATTTAGAAGAGTTCCATTTTACGTCACTACCTGTTCAATCACTACTTAACATGTATCTACACTCACTTTTGTATGCAATTCTTACTCTGTTTAATTTAGTCATTCTATGAATATAGATCAAGTTCTCTCCAAGGAATGACTCACTGAGGTATCTAATTCATCACAATGAGATATAAATAACAATAATTCATGATAAAATCGACGACATAGCCATTACGCTAACTGCTGGTTCCCCTCTACACTCACTTTTATATGCAATTCTTACTCTGTTTAATTTAGTCATTCTAAGAATATAGATCAAGTTCTCTCAGAGGAATGACTCACTGAGGTATCTAATTTATCACAATGAGATATAAATAACAATAATTCATGGTAAAATCGAATGATTATAAAAATATATTGTCATGAACATAATGTAAAAATGTTTTTTATCTCTCTCAATATCATATTGTACTACTTTGAAAATAATAGAAATTTGGAAATTTCTTTGAAAGTTTAATTATGCTGTGTAGTATAATCTTTAAAGCAAGAGTCAGGACATGTTAAACTTTTTAATTAAAAAAAATCATTTCTTAGGCCAGATTATCAAAACAAAAATTAAAATTTATATCCCAAATGTATCAGTGATTGTTCTTACTTAACTCTTGTTCGACTTCTGGGATCTAGAGGTCACTACATAGGTAGAACAAAAACCTTAGGGATACAGAGAAGCTTGTAAAAGAAAACACAAGTTTGTGAGGTTGGGTTAAACCCAGAATCAAGAATAAGCAGGTGTTCCAAACAAAATATAAATTGAAAGAAATCAGTCAAGCAGTGAAAATCTCAATGAGAAAACTTGGAAAAATTCCAAAGTTGAGCAAAAAAATTTTGAAGAGTAGGAAGAAATAATAAAGGAATTTCCCCCATTTTGCTTAAGGATGAGAGAAAATACTTTGAATATATATTGGTTAACAAAAATTTAATGGTATAATACAGCAACCATTTTCTTATTTTTGCCATGTACTAGGTCAGGAATATGACCAGGGCTCCCTATATTATGCATGGATTATTTCCGTTCCATGAAAACTCTGTCTCCTGCTGGGATGACTTGAATGGCTGAAATTAACAGGTAGAGCTGGGACCTAGTCATGAAAGTCTGTCTTTCTCTTTTGTTTCTCATTGTCTCTACACTAACTTGAACTTCCTCACAGCAAGGGAGACTCTGGTCAGTCAGATCTACATATGGTTTGTCAATGGACCAAAAGGAAGGAAGCTGCTTGTTCTCTTAAAATCTAGGACCCACACTGTTCTAGAGTCATTTTCACCATGATATATTATTTAAAGTAGTCAAATTCTAGCCTAAGTAAAGATAGGACTCACAGACCTCACCCCTCATTTGGAGTACCAAAATATTTCTATTTTTAGTCCACAACAGATTAAAGCAGCCTTCACTCATGAATGGGTCAGCCTCTATAATAACCTGAAGAATACTGCATTATTTTTATGTACAATGTATGCAAAAATTTTGATTTTCACATTTTGAAAATGTCTTTGGAGGTTTGTTAGAAATTGGCACAGTGGTTAAGTTGTTGGACTCCCACATGGCAAACTATGGTTCAAATCCTGGACCCAGTGGCTTGAAACTCACACTGGGCACGTGTGCATGAGGTATGACCATTCCCCCTAGAGGATGATTTCTCACTTTTTCTCTCTGTCTCTGTCTCTCCAGCGAGTGCACACACCCAATAGCAAAAATGTTTCTCCCCAAAAATTGGCTATTGATTTAAAATGTCTCTGTATTTTTTAAGAGAGATTTTTGCTATAGGGCACGTGTGCTCATTGGAGAAAGAACAAGACAGAGAGACAGAAATTAAGAAATTACCCTCCGGCGGGAGGGGGGAGAGCCATGCTGCAGTCCCTTTCTCCTAAGTTCTCCTCTTGGGATTTTGGGTACACATACACGCACCCCACGTGTTTTAAGCCACTGTATCCGGGACTCAAACCATAGTCAACTACATGGGAGTCCACTGACATGACCATTACACAATCTGCTGGCACCAATTTAAACTCTTACATGTTTAGAAGGGTTCCATTTTACTTCATTACTTGTTTGACCACTATATGTTATGTGTCTACATTGTCACTTTTGCAGGGTACTCTTACTTGACTTAATTTATTCATTCCAAGAAAACAGAGTTATCTCCAAGAAATGACTCACTGAAGTGTCTAAGTTTATTAGGATGTCGCAGAATGACTACAATAGAAAACTGAAAAAAGCAATATTGAGATCCTGCAACTCTTAATAAATTCTGTTCCTAAAGTTTATGATTTTGCCATATTCGCTCATCTGTTTTGCTTAAGTCCCTACTTCAATGTTAAGAGAGTTGAATCTAACTAATAAACAGAATGTTACCATAAGTTTATAGTATATGCTTTCTCTTCTTTTTCTATTTCATCACCAAATAAATTTACATACTTTGTCTTCCAATATCTTAATGAAGATGAATGGTAGAAATGCTTGGAGGGCTGATGAGTTACATTTAAAAGCATTCTCAGAGTTAAGTGCGATTTTATTTTTTCATTTTACTTGTTCTTTGTTATTAGGATTAATGGCAGTCAGAATAATGGTACTTCCAAAGATTTCTACACCCAAATTTCCTGATGTGGTAAAGAGACTTCGCATACATGATCATGGTAAGAATCTTGAAATGGGGAAGTTGTGTATGTTCACTAATGGAGGAAATGAGCATTTAATATTGTATTTAGTTTCTAAAACAATTTTAACAGGCCAATTCCATAGCTCAGTTGTTAAGAAGACTGGATCCCATATGTCCAACTGTGTTTCAATTCCTGGCTCCGATAGTTTGAAAAATACACTGGGCTTGTGTGGTGAGTATACCCAAAATTCTGTCAGGAAGGAGGAATGGAGGAAAAATAAAAATCACAGTGTTGACTATGGCCTATTAGAGATTCTTTCTTTCTCTCTGGTGAGCACATATGCCCTCTAGCAATTAAAAAAAAAAAAAAAACACAATTTTCTCATCACAGATTAGGAAATATACTCCCTAGCCTGTAAGAGCAGCTCATTGCCATCACTCAGAGTATACCCAAAATTCTGTCAGGAAGGAGGAATGGAGGAAAAATAAAAATCACAGTGTTGACTATGGCCTATTAGAGATTCTTTCTTTCTCTCTGGTGAGCACATATGCCCTCTAGCAATTAAAAAAAAAAAAAAGCACAATTTTCTCATCACAGATTAGGAAATATACTCCCTAGCCTGTAAGAGCAGCTCATTGCCATCACTCATCATGTAATACATTTTTACTCATTCTCTCTTGCCTCCACTCAAAGACATAAAGTTACAGAGCTAATATGAGTTAAAGAAGCATGCAGTGGGGAAATGGAAACGACCCTGCATTATTTTATGTTCCTTGTATATTTCTTTTTGAAGAGTTCAAACCAGGTTTCACATGTGGTCCCAGCCTCTGGAACACCACAGTTGGGCCTCTCTCAGTTTTGATGACAGCACATAATTTATCAAATATTTGGGAGTCTTTTGTTATCTCCATTTTTTTCCATAACAGCCAACACTAACATTTTATTTAATCAGGAAAAAACGTTTGGAATATAAAAATATATTTTTAAATTAACTTTTTTTATTTTTTAATTTTTTTTATATAGAGAGAGATGTTTACTACAGGGCATGTGCACTTACCAGAGAGACAGAGAAACAGAAAGCGAGAACTCACATCCTCCCCCCACCCCAGGTGATGGCCACACTACAATCCCTTCTCCATTCTCCTCTCAGGATTTTGGATGCTCATGTAAATATGCCCAAAGTATTTTAAGCCTTCAGGTCTGGGACTCAAATCTGTCTATTAGGTGGGAGCCAAGTGACATAACCATTACAACATTTGCTGGTTCCAACCATAATTTAAAAAAAATTAATTTACAGACTTACAAACAAAAAAGGAAGTTTTTTTTCATAAATGTCATTTTAATAAAATTTTTCCATAGTCACTTTCAATATCTATATAATGCCTACAGTGTTATTATATGATAATAATACCTTAACATTGTTTTCAAAAATTATGGTTGCTTTTCAAAAAATGTACATGTTTTCATGTCCCATTTACACTTGGTAATAAACTGTAGCATTGGTTAAAAAGATATACATTCTCATTGAAATCTTGAAAAAATTAAAGCTTTTATTAATGATTGATATACTACAATCCTAATTACGCATAGTAAGTCCCATTTTCATAAAAATGTAGGTGTGTGTGTGTGTGTGTGTGTGTATAGCTATGCCAAATTTGTCCCAGTACCCAAAATTGTGCCTAAGGCACAAAGCTAAGATCCAGCATTGCTAAGTACACACATTCTAAATTCACATAGGCAAAAATGAACTGACAACAGCTGTGACCTGACACCTTCATCACTCAGCTATGACAAAGTCTGAGGAATAAATAGGAGCGGAAAATTAAGAAACATTTCAGTACGAAACTGTGACCTTTCTCTTGTACTCTGAGAAACTGGTGCCATTGATCTGCCAATGTTGAAAGACAAATCTTTGGATCAATGTTGGGCTTGTATAATGATTTACCAGTTATAGCAGTCTAATAACTAAAGATACCTGAAAAGAATGAAACCAGACCAAAATGTAACTGATGGAAGTGTCATCCTCTATGAAGGAGTGCATGAGTTGTATGTACGTAAGTTCAAGAGTGAGAACTGAATGGAATGATTGGAGCTCTAATAATTCCAGCAAGGATATGCACTATTGTATGTACAGGATTATAGTAAGGGTTACTGTGATAATAGTGTGTGGTTGGCAAAGTCGTAGAAAGTTCTTATATTCTTATTTTTATGTGATTATTTTAAATTTTCTACTAGAATATATTATTTTAATGTGAAAACATTTAAAAAATATTTCCACATGCAACATAGACATACACTTAACAACATATTTGCTATCAATTTGCTACTTAATGTTGTCTAACTCTGGTCTTAATCTTTCCAAAGGATTTCTGGAAGTTTTAAAGCATTGTCAACACTACCTTTACATGCTAATTATTGGCTAATCAGGGAGAGGTGTTACTTTTAACTCTTTCTAAAAGTGGGATGCATGGCTTCTTCATTCTTATATCCATTCAATAACTCACCGGGGACCACTTTGTAGTAAGGCTAATTAAAGAAGGCTTCTCCCTACAGTAAATAACTGCCATCTATTATTTCTTACCTTCTTGGGTCCATCTTGTTAGAACAAAAACGTTTTAGATATGGGAAGCATTTCCTCGTGATACCTTGTGTCATCTTCCAGAAAGGATATAAGTCAACAGCTTTCTAAGACAAACTACATTATCAACTCTGGTGATCAGTGGGCCTTCAACATAGAATATGTTCCTTAATATTTTGAGAGCTTGCCAATCATTTGTAAACTATTTATAACTAGGGGCATTTGATTTCTCCTAAGAATGGTATGAATTTGAAACTGGTCTCTTCCTTTGAAAACGGTAAGATTCTTTCTAACTGGGGTATAGTTTTGCTATATGTGAGATAATGCACATAGACAATAATTACTCCATACATTGAAACTTCTGCTCCTTCTAAAGTCTATGTAAATGTATGGGATATTATTTCCATCACAAAAAAGAGATGAACTGGTAAACATTAACAAAATAGAGTTAGAACTATTGATATTTCATTCTACTCTTTTTATGATATTTAAATATACCTAAGTGATAGGTAGTGGTTAAGGTCCTGAACTCCTACATGGTTAAACATGGTTTGAGTCCTGAACTCAGTGGCTTAAAAATCACACCAGGCATTGGGGCCAGCAGATAGCATAGTGATTCCATCACTGGACTACCACATGGCTGACTCTGGTTTGAGTCCTGGAACCAGTGGCTTGAAAAATCACATCAGGCGTGTGTGTGTGTGTGTGTGTGCAGATGTCCAAGATCCTGGGAGAAGAATGGAGGAGAAGGGATTGTGGTGTGACCATCTTCCTGATGGATGATTTCTCACTTTTCCTTACTCTCTCTCTCCCTGGCAAATGCACATGTCCTGTGACAAAAATCTTAAAAAAAAAAAAAAAAAAAGATAATGAAGTGATGAAGAGATTTAGAAAGGAAAAGCTTCTTCAATACACATCAAAATAATCTTATTCATTTATAAGATGTTTACAATATATTGCATAATTACGAAGATTTTTCTCTGTCAGATTAAAATATAATAAAGGAATTGTTAACGCATGGTAAATATCATAATGTCCTTTACTCTTATAAAGACTCATGTGTTTATAGTAAGCTACTGAGTAGCCCGATTGGTTTTGGTTTTACAAATATTTTGGTTTTACATTAATTCCTAATCTATTTTAATTAGAAATAAATACTTTTTTTTTCAAAGTTGTATGTCGGGTAAAAGTTATCTTTATTGGATTGTTGGAAAAGTCATAATATATTTTTCTGTGTTTTTCTAAGCAAAAATGCATCATGACTTTTTTGCCAACCCAATATTAACTATGAAGGTAGCTTCTATTTGAGAGGGAAAATGTTTTGAACCACTGTAATTCTTAATAGAAACTTTTATTACTGTATTCCATAATAAAACATAACCAAATCATCAATTAGATGCAAATCTATCATCTGAAAATTGATCTTAACTGTAATGCAAATGTTTTTCTTTATGCTGAGGAAAAGGTAGAATGGGAATAGAAACATGTAAAGTGTTTCCTCCAGTGTTTATTCTAAAGACAGCAAAGTATTAACCTTGTTTTAACTATTGAAATATTTCATTATTTATATTTTATGGGTTCCTTTTCAAATGTCATTAATAATTTGATTTTACTGCCTTTTTGTTTCTGCAAAATACATGACATGGTTTTACTAAACACAATGTGGTAAATGCATGTAAATTTTGCTTCCCACAATGGTTCTGTCCTTTTTGCAGCTCAGAGGGCATGTTTTCTGCAAGATAGGGAATGATGTCATTTTATGCAGAGAATAATCTACCACCTGCTGGAAGGAGGAGGCATATTGTGGCAGCTGCATCACTGATTTGAAATAGCAAATATAAATGTATAGATGAGCATGTCAGTGAACGGGTGAGGAAGTGTAACATGCTTTCCCCAACAACAGCTGGAAAATTATACTAAGCCTAAAATAGTATCTTTTGGCTTCAAACCAAATGTTTCTATCACTAGTACTACACAGGGCAAAAACACTACTCACAAATGAATTCCATATTCTGTTTACAGAAGCAGCATTTCCGCTGCAAGGCATATTAAATATTTGGAGGAAGGGATAGTAGAAATGGAGAGAAAACCTGCTATATGACCCCATTTATTTTCAGATAGGAACTGGACTCTTCAAACAAGAGAGAAATGAATTCTTACTGTTTTCCCTTAAAGATTGACCTTGCATAAAATAGTATAGATTTTTTTTTAAGAAATGTGCAGGCTCTTTTGGAGCTCCTTTGGAGCTTTATAAACTACCAGTAGTAACTTTCAAAATAATCTGTCTCTAAATAACAGATTTAATCGATTATGAATGAAAAGAAAGCTCTATCTGTAAGCATTTAACAAATAGGTGGGCTTGTGCACCAAATACAAATAAATTGAATCTGTAAGCAATTTTTTGTATAGTTTTTAAATAAGGATTAATATAGAAACTATTTACCTAGGCACAATTCCAAGGTGTTTCTTCTCTTAATCTTACTATATTATTATTATTATTATTAGAATAAAGAATGATCTCAAAGGATATGTTACTCCTTTTTTTTAATTTCCTTTTTTCTTCTTCTTCTTTTTTGCAACACATGGGGTGGTAGGTGTTCCTGGACATCTCCTTCAGTGACTGCAGACATTTTACATCATCTTCAACTATTTAGCCAATT